CTGAAGTTGAAAAATGGAACTAAACAAGATTGGGATTGAAGTGAACATATCACTTGGTCTGGCTAATGATGACACAGCAGGCTGAGCGCCTGGACTTTACATGCAGTATAAAATCCCTACATTTTTTATTCTTTTTTTAACCCTTTTATTTACGCTTCTACGGAAGATAATAGATCTGGTCTTAGTTGGGTTGAGAATAATTCTCCGTTTACTACACCAAGTGGTTATTTTATTCAAAATCTTTTGTAGTTTAGTGGCACCTAATGGTGGGTTCCTGTAAGTGTTGCATACCGCGATATTATCGGCATATTGTGAAGCGTGTTTTACAGGTTGAGGTAAGTCGTTGACGAACAGTGTGTAAAGAAGCGGGCTAGGAACAGAACCTTATGATACACCTGCGTTAAAAGTAAAGGGCTGGGAGATAGTGTTTTAAATTTTACTTTTGCAGTTCTGTTTTCTAGAAAGTTTGAGATCCACTTAGTAAAAGTAATGGGTATCTTATACTTGATAAGTTTATATTTTAGGCTATCGTGCCAGACAGTGTCAAAGGTCTTATGTACATCTAGATCAGTGGCTATCGTAACGTAGACTTTATCAAATCCATAAAAATTTGTTTCGACTAATCTGACAAGGTGAACATCGGTTTGTCTGTTTTTACGTCCAGCATTTTCAATATGATATAGTGAGTTACTGGCTTATAGTAGCTGTAACAGCCTTGCCGTGATTATTTTATCCAGGAGCTTAACAATTCTGTTAATTAGACTGATTGGGCGGAACTTTTAAATACTCTATATCACCTATAGCTTTTTCTTGGTTATATTCCATAAGTATCTAAACCCTAGTCCCCCCCCCCCCCCAAAGGTCAAGCTAGAAGCCCCAACCAATCTCTTTTTTTCTATTTATACCGTTGAATATTTTTCTCAAAATTCCGTTCTGTTACCGTTATATTTCCTGTATTCGTAGCCTTAATGTCAGCCTCTATTGTTCTAAATTACACACGGGCAGTCTTTCTTTCCTAACAACGAAAACGTGTTTACCAAGTCAGCCTGGCCAGGTGGTTAGGGCACTCGACTCGCAATCCCCGTCACACCAAACATGCTCGCCCTTTCAGCCGTGGGAGCATTATAAAGTGACGGTCAATCCCACTATTCGTTGGTAAAATAATAGCCCAAGATTTGGCGGTGGGTGGTGATGACTAGCTGCCTTCCCTCTAGTCTTACACTGCTAAATTAGTAATGGCTAGCGCAGATAGCCCTCGTGTAGCCTTGCGCGAAATTCAAAAAAATAAACAAAGTCAGCCAGTATCGTTTGTTTTAAAGAACACTTGTTTCAACTTTAAATAATAAATTCAGTTTCGCTTTAATTGAACTTTTTTTTAAAAAAATAGAGGTACTCGGCTGGGTAAAGTGGACCTGTTTTTGAAAAATAAATTTTAGATGTAAACATAAAAACGATAAAGTTCAGGTACTAGTACCTCTTTAAAAATACGTTCCGTTACTCAATACCGGCAGCATTTTACCCCTGGAAGTGTATGTTCACTACAAGCCTCAACGCCCAGCCACTCCCTTTTTAACACTTTATGTCATTCTTTTACTGTTATTCTTCCTGTATCCGTTTCGTTAAGGTGAGCTCCTATAGGTCCAAGTTACATAGGGGTCGCCTTTGTTTCCCACCAATGAAAACGTGTCAGTCAAGTCGACCAGTGTGGTTTGTTTCAAAGTTTGTTGTTTTTAAACTTCAAATCTTAAACTCAGTTTCGCTTTACTTCAAATCTTTTATTTTAATGTAATGCAAACTAGTTGTTTCTCCCCGAACTTAAATGCTTAATATAAATGAGTTTATTTTGATGTTATTGTTTCGTTCTGTGCTAATTAGTTCGCCATTTAGGCTATATCAACTAAATCCCGGATCCTAGATTATCTGGAGTATCCACTAGGTAATTAATCTGAAGCTTAACACACAAGAAAAAAAAAAGAGCCAATTACCTTTCCCATAATTTCCAGGTAATAAAGTCACTGAGTTCTATTATTATTATTATTATAGTACCCCAGTGGTACAGCCGTATGTCTGCGGACTTATAATCCTTGATACCGAGTTTCGAAACCCGCGGTGGGCAGAGTACAGATAGCCCTTTATGTGTTTAACTTCAAACAAACAAGTTTATTATTATAAATCACTTTATAATTATCAAATTTATATTTTTGTGTTTACTAGTTACCATTCATATTTTACACAGTTTCATATATATATTATAATTGAGAAACATATAAAGATTGTCAATTATATTTGATAAATCATATACACACCAGTTTATTTTGATACTTGATTTTACAATTTACGACTACATCGAGCATATTAACCCTACGTGTAAGGGTGGGATTCGAAATGCGCATTTAACAACCTTTTATAGAGCACTATTCAATATATACTTGATGTAAGGGTAATCAAATATACATTGTAGATTTAGCGACATCTCAAGATAGAGGAAAGTAAATACCAGAGTAACCAGATACAATATATAAGAATACAAAAAAAAATGTAGATATGCATTTCGGAGGTTCTAGACTTTGTGCAAATATAATATGTCAACTTATGATGACAAAAAATGTGTTTATTCTAAACGTGAGCATCATCTTGAACCCTGAGTTGTCAATTCACAGACATATCTTGAGCAGAAATACGTTTGTAACATGTGACTTTTGGTGTACAGACTTTTACATATTACTGAAAGCTTGCAATATTTTGTGTAGGTACACGTGGTAAATTAAAATTCATATTAAATACTAGTTTTACTTTAGGACCATTAATTAATACAAAATCCTTTGAAAATACAAACAAAAACAATGTCAACCTAAAAATCTAAATGATCTACAGTTTTACAATAATATCTTTATACGGTATATAAAATAAAAAAAATATTTCTCCTATTACTTAGTTCCTTAGAATTAAAAGATTTGAAGAAAAGACGTCGATAATTTATACAGAAAATATAAAGAAGAAACTATGAAATTATGAGTCTCTAAAGATACGTCACAGTACATACGGTACGCGTCTTGCAATGCATTCAAGAAGTTGTTTCGAGTTACATATTTTATTGATCTATGCATGAAGGAATTTATGTATTTGTACAGACACAATGATTTACTTACTGTCACTAAGAAGAAAAATAGTTAAATATTCCTGAATGCTTATTATAAAGGTTTCGTCTCTCTCAGATAAAGTTATACGTATACCGTATCTTTGAAAAAACAGATAATGGGATACGTGTATTGTATAACGTTAGACAGGTACCCTGTGTTTAATTGATGCAGAATTATAAATCAAGTTGTGGTTTTCCTCGTGATGTAGGATTTGGCCCTAAAATAAAATTACTATTTGATATGAATGCTAATTGACCACGTGTACCCTGTTGTATGGAAAATCAGATGTTGCAAGGGTCTTTGTACTCAAGACATGTTTGTGAATTGATCATTCAGAGTGCACGCTCACATTAACAATATTTTTTTTGTATTTTCATTGTAAGCTAACGTGGCCCGGCATGGCCAGGTGGTTAGGGCGCTCGACTCGCAATCTAAGGGTCGCGGGTTCGAATCCCCGTCACACCAAACATGCTCGCCTTTTCAGCCGTGGGGCGTTATAATGTGTCGGTCAATCACTATTCGTTGGTAAAATAGTAGCCCAAGAGTTGGCGGTGGGTGGTGCTGACTATCTGC